TTCTCCATGCAGAGTGCGCGCAACTCACTCTCTAACCCTAATTCTTACTTCAAGCATTTTCTAGCTTAAGTAAAGGATCTTCTTTACAGCAATTACATTTCTTGTAATTTGCTAAGGTTTTGTGTGTAACCAAAGATTGTTTAGATAGGTTTTTATTACCTTATCTTTCCGCAAACAATCTTGTAAAATCTGCATTGATCTTCTCTATCAATATATATTTTAAATTTGAAAATACTGTGTTTGTATTCATTCCCCCCCCCCTTCTACAAACTGTTTCTCTTCTTGTAGACCCTCACGGGACCAACAAGACCAAGTCTCTCCGTTTTATTCCAACTATTAAAGCCTTCTGTTACAAAAGAATCACTCCCACATTGTCCTACGTAATGATCTCTAAACAAATAACAACACAAACAAAAAGCTCTATCCGTTTTTACATTATACTCCAACTAGTTAGCGTATTGATCAAACCAAGCCGGACAAAACGTCTTCCTTTACTCTCGACATATTTTTTTGGAAATGCATGACCTCGTGGTTGACAAGGTCCTCTAAGTAAGTATTTTCTCCTTATTTCATCCCTTTGATTAGGATGATATTCCGAAATCTTTTTCCTATCGGCTGGATCCCAAGGAAGATCGTTCAAATCAATTTCGTAGGGCATCGACGGAGCGGAGCTCGATTCAGGTGTTGATGTTTTCCTTTTAAAAAAAAAAATTCCATTTTTTCTAGCAATAACAATAACAAGATAAAAATCAATGGTTTATCTTTATCAATAGTGTTATTTCCATTTGCCTACAAAATTGCAAAATTAACTTAACATTTCCATTTTCCTACAAAATTGCAAAATTAACCTAACATTTCCATTTGTCTATAAAATTACAAAATTAACCTAACATAAAGCATTTACCAAAATACCAAACAACAAAATCAAAGTCATTCAAAATTAAATATTAGAATTTAGATATCAAAAAATTTACCCAAATTAACCTAATAGGCTGTAGCCGGCTACCGCACTCTGCACCGCAAGAAGAAGCACAGCCACTCAGCTAGCGCCTAGCAGGGCCGTCGGCGAAGAAGAAGAAGCAGGCTACTGGCGGGAAGAACCGAATAAGAAGAAGCAGGCTGCTGGCGGGAAGAACCGAATAAGAAGAAGCAGTCCGCTGCACGCAAGGGACGAACTTGAAGGCAGAAGCGTGAACTGGTGACTGGTGTGAAGGAGAAAGACTAAAGAGAGGGGGCCTTCATAGTTTTATTGTTGGGGGCCCAACCAAATTAAATTATAAACTATAAATAAAAAAAAATTTGGACTTTCTAAAAAAAATTTGATGGGGGCCAGGACCCCAACAGTTTCCATTTGCATCCGCCATTGTATACATATATATATATATATATATATATATATATATATAATCATTTGAGAACTCCAAAATATTGTGAGATATGTGAACTTTTCCTTTTTGTTTCACATGATTTTTTTCCATGTATAGTATTTAATGTATTCATTAACATATATTTGTTTCACAATGTGTTTGTTTCATATGTATTCAGTTCACAGTATGAAACTTTTTACGTGTATTTTTTGTTCCACAAACACGTCAAAATTGTTCACATTGTGAACCGAGTACATGTAAAACAAACACATTGTAAAACAAATATATGTTAATCAATATTCTAAATCCTAATATTAGATGAAAGAAAAATCATATGAATAACACATGATGCACAAATTTTCAATGTTATCACAATTTCATGGGTTCTCAAAAAAAGATCCCCCTATAGATATAGGCAGGATCAAACAAGAAGGCGAAAAATTCTAAGATCTCATGTAATCACATATTGTACAAAACACGTGAAATATGTTGGGTATGCTAGCAATATAGCAAGCAACCTTTTTCCTTGACCGTTGACCAAGTCGCCCACATCCTTTTAAACATATATCACATGTGATTTTACTCCTATAATTATATTTGATGTTGAAACTTTTCATCTTCTTAAAAATTGATTTCCTTTTCATATTTTATACATATATATATATATATATATGGTATATTTCTTTTACAATCTTGTGTATTTGTACAACCCTTGCAACTTTTTTTTCAACCAATCAATAAATAATTTTTTTAATTATTTTTTAAATGAAAAGATTAATGTTGTCCTTTGATAATTTTACATATTTATTGTTATTTTTAATTAAAAATGATAATAATCCTATTTATGGTTGTAACCTTCTAATTACTATGTATATTTGAAACTGATATGGAAACATTAAGATTTCTATAGAAAAAAAATAATAACCTGGATGAATTCGATGAAGCTTTGGCACAATGGGTTCAACTTCACATACTCTTATGGATTCGATATCCTTCAATGAAACATTCGTCAAGGATATATTTGATGAAATCGGTGCTGTCAGTGTACTGATGAAACCATCTTCATCAGAATATATTTGTTGTCAGTGTACTGATGAAACCATCTTCATCAGAATATATTTGTTGTCAGTGTACTGATGAAACCATCTTCATCAGAATCATAACGTGCTTTTAAAGGTGAGATGGATACATAAAACTAAGTTCATAAAAACATAGTTCAACAGAATTGTTGTCAGTGTACTGATGAAACCATTTTTCATCACTTTCATAACCTTATTTTAAAGGTGAGATGGATACATGAAACTAAGTTCATAAAAACATAGTTCAGCAGAATTGTTGTCAGTGTACTGATGAAACCATTTTCATCCGTTTCATAACCTTATTTTAAAGGTTATGATGGATACATGAAATTAAGTTCATCTAGCGTGTCGTCCGTACGTCAAAGCTTATAAAGTGTGTTGATGAAACTATTTTCAATGAATATCGCTATTTGTCTTCTACAGCAGAGTGATTATCGCATTCATGATTTCAAAGAATCCCTTCTTAGAATAGATTAAGTTTTCCAATTCCAATCTTACCCTTGGTTACCCTCAATCTATCAAGAGTGTGCATATAGTTTTTCCTTTTTATTACAATTTTGTCATCCAATGCATCTTGACCATACATTAAAAATTGAAGGGATGAGATGATGGTTGTATTGGGTGTAGGAATGGGAAAGGTTGTAAAATAACCTCCCTCTATATATATATATATATATATATATATACTATTATACATAACTCTTAAAACACAACTCACAATGCATATCCACAAGGTAAAAGCTTTTATTGCAACCACCACCTAATTGGATTACTCCTGGCTTCGCTTTTCATAAATTCAGAGTTTCTTCTTCTCTTTACATCTATGTACAACTTATCATTGCATTCACTTTTATCAACAACCTTTTGATACACACTCTTCCTCTTGACTGTATTTAGATTTCCTTATCTCTATCTCCACTCTACCGCTCTCCACATCGTCTTCTACGAGCACTGGACAAGAAGGTTTGTGGTGTGACATGTGGAGATAATCTTATTTTGTGTGAAGGTCATGTGATCGGAATATACTCGGTTTCAATACAATATAATGTAACATTCACAAAATATAAAAAATACCTCCAAATTCTCTCACCTTCTCGCGAAAATGAAAATTTCTCGTATGCCCTGTATGAGTTGAACGCTTTGTTTGGCTAAAGAATGAATCAACATGTTCGACTTTGCCCGTTTACAATGCACAACTTGTGTTATGTTCGGTGATGGCTATCCATACATATATCATCGAAAACAAATGATAGTAATTTCAAGCGGATATGAATAGATCACCAAGGGATTTCTTTACCGTCCCAAGCGAAGAATTTGCCATTGTCATGGCTCTTGCTGCTGTTGATGATGCCCAAGAGCCTTTGTACGGAGAATTCTTTAGTGAAGAGCTTGTCTTTCGGAACATTCTTTTGGAATGGCTTAGAGAGATCCGTGTCCACCGTTCCAGGGTGCAATAAAATGCATATCACTGGATCCTTCTTTCGGGCAAATTCAACAGAAACACATTTGGTTACTGCAGACATCAATAAGCTTTTATATAAAAGACACATTTGGTTACTGCAGATACACAATTGTCGATCATTCGTTGCCATTTCACATTTTCTTTGCACTTCATTTATTTATTTCTTTACTTTTGAAGTATATAATACTTGTATATTCAGTGAGATTTGAATCCTTGGCCTCCTTAGGGAGCGGGTTCTACCGGAACCCGGATACTGTTGTGCCAAGGACCCTTTGGTAACTTGATTCACAATGGATTCAAGGTTCACTCGTTTTTAGCACAGGAAGGTAGAACTTTTGTAAATAATTCCAAGTAAAAACTCTTACGCTGATTAAGTGCAGCCTTGGAGGCCCGATATGAATGCCATCCACCTAAACGGTTGTCCCCAATTGAGCCAACCCTGGCACTTATGTTAGCCACAACAGCAACATCTCTTTCAGTTCCACTGCCACCTCCAACCTTAAGCAAAGGCCACATATGCTGCATTTTCATGATCAAAATTCATATATGGTCATATATGGTGTGTTACCCTAAAACACAACTATACAAGTCCTTAACGAAGCTGGAAAAATGAACAGATCTGTTAATGTTAAGCGAGTTCCACCCTCTTCAGAGCATCCACAATGGTGCTTGTTTCCAAGTTACTTGGAAAGCTATTGGCCAAATGGCATTGGGGAAAAAGCCACCTACAAAACAAATCCCTTTTTGCTTGTGCAGTTACAGGTCAAGTTTTTTATGTGGGTCCCACCTTTATTTGAAGAAGCTCCACCATTGTGGATGCTCTTATGTGTCCATGAGTTGCTTTGATTTCAGATAAGATTTTAGTTTTTTATGATCAGCTTGTTGATGATTCTAATCAAAATGTCATTTTAGCATTCTCATTTTTCATTTCTAAGAATATTATGTGATGTTTGTTACTAGTTTGAGATGCATAACCTTTGGAGAAGGTATGTCCCGGAAACGCCAATCTAATTTTCAGAGGTAGTTGAATGGGGGAATGTTAATGCATCTGGTAATTTGGCAATACATATGTGTACCCTCACAAGATGTTCTCTTTAGACATATCCATTAGTCTACCATTTGATCGAGCAAGGGCTTGTGACATTGCAATTAATATGTATTTAGATTAACATTTAGCCTTTCCAGATAGTTCAGTCAGAAGAAAGAGAAGATATTCAACAAATATGAAGGCACTTGTAATCTAGGATGTGCTCATGCTATAATTAGCCTGCATGTAAATTAACTCGATTAGATGTTAAGTTGGCAGATTTGTATTGGATGAAGTTCTAGGGTGCACCTATGTAATTGCCAAATCCTGTTTAAGACTTCCTCAATATTTCTAGATATTTACCAAAAAAAACCTGCTAACTATGCAGTTGCAATACATTACAAACTATTTTCAACAAAGCAAATAACTTGTGTTTAACCAATTTCTTAAATGGCTTACTATAGTTCATAGCAATTTGAAACTGATAAATTTGCAAGAAGAAACTAATTGTTTCAATGAGGGAGAGATATGTATGGAACAATCAATGTTAAAGAACACAAAATAACAGATATAGATGATCATACCTTCGTCACCAAAATAGGACCCACTGCATTAACCTCATAAGCAAGCAGTAACGATGATCTCTCTATTTTGGTCATTGTTGTTTCTGTATACAAGATTATATAAAATCAGGAACCTTAATATCCAATGAAACTGGCTAGCATCAAAGTACTATGAATTGCTGATGAAAAATATAGCTTTAAAACATCTTGGACCAAGCTTTAATTACCTGGGTGTATAACATCTGGTATTGAAAGAATACCAGATGCATTAACAAGAAGATTTAAGTGGCCATACGTCTCGCCTATGGCCTTTGCAGACTCCTGACATGATGTCTTGTTAGATGGTTTTAAGGTCATACAGTTGTTGATTTAGTAATTACGTAAAGCATATCAAACTGTTATGAAGTTTAAAATAGAAAAGTAAGTTACAAGGAACAAACAACTGAAATAATGAAAAATTCCTGAACAATAAAGTACAAATTACATAAACCAAACCAAGCAAACCCAATATATCCCACACAGAGGTAGGATCAGGGAGGGTCACAGGTAAGATGTATGGAGGCCTTTCCAGTCGCCTCTACCCAAATGGTAGAGAGGTTGTTTCCGAGAAAACTACAAATTATCTCTTCAAATATAATTATTGCTACACTCTTTTATGGCTGATACTTTTGCTCCCTCTTCGACAAAGGAAAGCTCCATGACCCTTTCAAACAATGTAATTCTAGTAAGAGCCCAAGGCCCGTTTTTGCTTGATTTCCAATCTATGTTTTATTGGAAAAACAGGTTTTATACCCGCTTTGGACGGGCCCAAAAATGAAGTCGAATCCAAGCTAGAAATGGAAAGAAATATTTATGTAGTCCTACATGATAGCTTCGTTTCAATATATCATATGTCCAAAACGGTGTTCATATGAATGAGAGAAATTGATTCTCAAGGTATTGAGTTTGAGATGAATATTGGGAATTGGTTCGATGTCGGATATGGAAAAGAAGTTGAGTTTATATATTAGATTCCTAGTCGGGAGTAGAATGTATTCAGACCAATGAACTTGTGTGCAAGAACACATAACTTCGTGTGGGGCTAATAGTTTTCATTTCCCATCTCATCCTGTGGGTATGAATGTTGTATCAAAGTTGACTGGGATAACTTTTCTTAGTTTCTTTTCGGATTCTTTTTAAACCAGTTATGAATACGTAACTACCAATGAATTAATGGAAATATTGTCTCCTAACTGATCAATGTTGAATTCGATATTTATGGCTCAGTCAATTGATTAGAAAATCACTTCAGTTTATGGCGTGAAAAGTAACCTAAAAAGGTGAAACCAGAAAAGTTGAATGGTAGAAAGGTGAGAGGAGAAAAGAGAGGAACTTGAAGGAAGGTATCTACGGACTAGAATTTTTCAATGATGTGTCTTAGCAAAAAAAGCATTACTACACCAGCATCAAATTTCCTATTTAACATCATCACTTGTCTCTGATTCCTTGTAAAGTTTATTCTTGCTGAAATTTCTAGATTTCCCTATTGAAGGACAAGTGACAAGAAGTAACCTCTATTGTGCTTTCAATTGTAAGATCCAACCTTTGAATATGTAGCCTTTCAGAAAATTTGTTTTTTAACTCAATTAGCCCTGCTGCTCCATTGGGATTCCTGCATGTAGCAATTACATGTTCTTGAGAATTTTTCACCAGCAATTGCTTGACCTGTACCAAAATCAAAGATGTCATTTAGATTAACTTAATATAAATTCTCACATAATGACAACGAAGAGAAGCAACCTTTTGATCCCAATATTACCTCAGACAGAGAGAGAGACAGAGAAGCAACAATAAAATTAGGAACCCACCAAAACTATTGTTGCTTAGATCAACTCTTCACTTATTCTGGTACTCTATGTGAATGGGATAGGGAGACAGACTATGGGGTGCATAAATGACATGAAGAGTTCCATTTCCTAATACCCATCTGTGTGGTCCTAGGGTACAAACCAGTGGATTCTCCTAGGTTGCATCTATAAAAAGTAACGGCTCAGCCAGGAAAGTTCATGCACAACCACCAGAAGTGGAAAAAGGCTAGTTATGGAACTCAATTATAAGACAGTCATACTTCATCCTCTTTGAGTATAGGTCAGTCATTTATAAACAATACACCATTCATTGGGAGGTCATTTTCACATTCCAAAATATCTTACCGGAGCTTCAACAAGTAATATGCATTCAGATCAAGATAGTGTTGGAGTGTTCAGTAAAGGTTGGGACTGGAAAATTTTCTAGGTCTTAATATATAGCCAGTGGCAACTTGTGCAACCACTCAAAGGTGCACCACAGCCTATTGTGTTCTTGTTAGTGAGCATCTTTGCTAGGTCTTTACAATGCAGTCCAAGTTGGTATCTCGTTGCACAGTAATATCATGTCATGCAAGATGTTACATGTGAACATCTTTCATGAGTCACCTTTTGCTCGAGTTGGGCAGCCTTAAGACGGTAGATGACTATAGTTTCTTGCACTTGTGATCTCAGTGTATGATCTAGTTATACAGGGTTCCCTAAGCCCCACATCTCAGTAATATAAATCAATATAAACCCTACATATTCACAATAGCATATGTATGAGATATGTTCATTTGTAGATTCACATTATGCAATGAGTAGGTTTCATGATACGTCAATACTATTCTTTGCAGGACATAAAGTACCAAGAGATCTGTTATTGTTTGTGCAAATGTCACTTCTGGTTTAAGAGTGAGATTTCTTGGAAATCTGTGTATTATTAACATATGATGGCAATATGTAGAGTACATTAAGGTGTTAACAAGAAAATATATTATTGTGGGAAAATGTAAAAATATAAATGATTATGTATTTAATGTAGGAGACAGGAGTAATGGGAGCCGATTATAATTCCATGATATTAGTGATTGTAGGCAATCCCATAAAAGAGGGATTCATAGAATAGTTTCCTTTTCTTTCCCTTTGCCTTGTGTATTTATATTGTATGCTTCTCTGTCAAGAACGAATAAGAAACACGGCAGAATTCCTAAATCTGTTATGGTATCAGAACTATCGAAGCTTGGGAAGCCTTTTTAGCCTTCATAAACCTTCTTTGAAAATTAGGCAGGCCTTCATTGCCTTCTTCCTTTGATTCCTTTTTTGTGGCCTTCATTGCCATCAATTCCTAACCCAGCATCGAAAGAATGACAGAACCCAAATCAGAATCTGCCATAACCCATGTTTCTCAACCAGGAGACTTACAGCACATCCATGCATCATACCGATTGGATGGAAAGAACTATCTCATGTCATTTTCAGCACTCTGAAAAACCTTCTGGTGGTGGATACTTATTCCTAGGTACTTGTTTTTTAACTTATTCAGGTGAGCATCCTTTTTCATTTGGATTTAATGTCTTAGGTTCAACCCTAAAATACTCCGGGATCATTGATTTGGGAGCAACTGACCATATGGCTCACTCTTCCAAACACTTCTCCACATACTCACCTTGTCCAAGTAACAAGAAAATTGTCACTGCTGATAGAACTCAAACCACGCAGGTATAGGAGATATCCAACTTAGCTCATCTATTCTTTTAAAAAAATGTTCTTCACGTCCCAAAATTGTCCACTAATCTGATTTCTGTAAAGAAAATAGCACGAGATTTACCTTGTCAAGTGGTATTTTTTGTGACGAATATTGTTTGCATCAGGAAAAGGATTTGGGGAAGACGATTGGACTTGCTAAGGAAAAGGATGATCTATATTGTCTTGAGATGCCAAAAAGTACCAGATTATCTCTCTCTCGTAACAGAATCTGTTCTTTCCAATAAAGAAAAAATCATACTTCACCATTGTCGTTTAGGTCATCCCTCATTTAGGATTATTAAAGTTATTTTTCCATATTTGTTTAAAACAATCGATGTTGAAAGCCTTCATTGTGAGGCATGTGAGCTTCCTAAACACAAGTGTATCCTTTTTCCTATCAGTGATAAAAGAAGCAACTCTTCTTTTTATCTTATTCACACTGATATTTGGGGGTCCATCTAATATTTCCAATGTGTCGGGTGGAAGATGGTTTGTGACCTTCATTGATGATTGTACACAGGTTACTTGGGTGTTAATAAAATATAAGTCTGATGTTGGCACTATTCTCCCTAATTTCATTTCGATGGTTAAAAAACAATTTGGAGTAGAAGTTCAAAAAATAAGATCTGATAATGCTCGAGACTTTTTCAATCAAACTCTCACCTCCTATTTTCAAAAAGAGGGAATAATTCAAGAATCTTCATGTGTTAAAACACCTCAACAGAACGGAGTGGCAGAGAGGAAAAATGGGCATCTATTAGATCAAACCAGAGCATTATTATTTCAAAATAATGTTCCAAAACATTTTTGGGGAGAAGCAGTGCTCACAGCAACTTATCTTATAAATAGACTCCCTACCCGAGTTCTAGGATTCAAAAGTCCTATGGATGTACTTTCTTCCTTTTATCCAAATGTGTCCACTTCCAACAATCTTGTACCCCGTATTTTTGGATGCATTTCATTTGTTCACGTCCATAGCCAAGACATAAACAAACTTGATCCTCGGGCTCTAAAGTGTGTTTTCTTGGGATATTCCTCAACCCAGAAAGGGTACAAATATGTTACCAGGGACAGACCCAGAAAATTTTTCATATGGTGGCACCATATAATTAATATAATATAATATACATCTAAAAATAATTACAAAACATATGGTTTTTATAGTACCGATAAACAACTCCTAAACTTGTACCCGACGCGTCTTCATCTTTTGAAAACGGTCAATATATACCCAAAAATAATTACAAAAAGTATGGTTTTTTAGAATTGATAAACAACTCCTAAATTTGTCCTCAGCATGTCTTCATCTTTTGGAAACAATCGATGACATCTTCGTTTTTAACATTACTAAGGGCTTCCTTTTCTATGGCACAAATGAGGGCATAATTCAAAAAATCATCACCAATTCGATTACATAAATCTGTCTTGACAAGCTTCATCACCGAAAACCATCTTTCAATCATAGCAGTTGCAACAGGCAAAACCAGTGTCAGTTTCAATAACCGGTAGACTAAAGGATGAGAAAGATGCTTTCTTGTTGCCACCATTAATCTTGCTAGGTCGGCAATACCGTTTAAGTTGGCAAATCTGACATCATTATAAACAGAATGATAGTAGATGTCAAGTTCGTGCTCAAGAATGATCCTTTCCTTGTCTTCAAAATCTCGGGGATACATATGACTCAACTTCAATAGGCTTGATTTGTTAAACTGAGAAAACGAATTGCGTGGATTCAAAGTTGCCATGTTTTGAAGCAAGTCGCTGCCTATCTCACCAAAACGATTACCAAACTCTCGGATCTGCATATCCAAAACAGTGTTGAATATATCATAGTTATAATAATGTTGATTGTTAATGTTCTTCCTTTTCCTTGAACTTCTTGTATTAACATAAGCTTCAACCATATCCAACTTCACAATCTTATGTTTATCACAAAAAGAGTAGCATTTCTACAAAATTTGATCAAACTCATTTTCTCTCAACATTTGTAATTGACCTTTGGTTGTTCCTATCAAATCTGTTGTAAATGTGTTTGAAACACACCCCAAGAATCCGAGCAAATAATAACAATATTAGTTTGACGCGGAATGGAATTAATATTTTAATCAAGCGTAATTAATCACGAACGAAAAGAACCAAGACAATAAGTAAGATAGACACAAGGATTTACGTGGAAACCCAAATCGGGAAAAAACCACGGGCGGAGGAAGCCGAGAACCAATTCACTATATGTTGAAGTGTTTACAAGGTTGGAATAGAAAAATACAATACAAAGGATTTTGTATATATGTATTCTGTGAAAAAGGATGTGTTTGGGATGATCAGCAAATGAAGAATCAACCTCCCCTTTTATAGGCACATTTTAGTTGTTGTGAAAGCATGTAACTTAATTCTTCAAAGTCAGGCCCCGAATTCCAATTGTCTAAATTGTAATAAATGTGGCCACAATATTTGAAATTGTATATGCAGCCTTCTTTGATAATTGCAGCCTTCTTTGACAATTTTGAAAACATGTTCACAATCTCCACCTTGATTTCAAAATGCAGAGAAACAACTCATCAAATTTCCCAAATTCCATAAGATCCTGTAATCACCATATAGAGAAATAATTGATTCTGAAAAGTTAAAATACTTCCTCCACCTCAAGCCTTTCAAGCTCAACTGCGATCAGAAACACCCACCAAGTCCAAACATGATTTAAACTTGGCTATAGGAAGACTTTTAGTGAACATATCAGCGGGATTATAATATGTATGAATTTTATCCACGACACAAATCACCTTTTTCAATGATATCCCGCACAAAATGATAACGAATATCAATATGTTTTGTTCGGTCATGAAACATTTGATCTTTACTCAAGAAGATAGCACTCTGGTTGTCACAGAAAATTGTGGTCACCTCTATTCTATCGTCGAGTTCTCCAAATAATCCCTTCAACCAGATATCTTCCTTAACTACTTCTCTGCATTTTGAAATGCAGTAAAGAGTGCTATCTTCTCTGCATTTGATGAGTTGTTTCTCTGCATTTTGAAATCAAGGTGGAGATTGTGAACATGTTTTCAAAATTGTCGAAGAAGGCTGCAATTATCAAAGAAGGCTGCATATACAATTTCAAATATTGTGGCCACATTTATTACAATTTAGACAATTGGAATTCGGCGCTTGACTTTGAAGAATTACGTTACATGCTTTCACAACAACTAAAATGTGCCTATAAAAGGGGAGGTTGATTCTTCATTTGCTGATCATCCCAAACACACCCTTTTTTCACAGAATCAATATATACAAAATCCTTTGTATTGTATTTTTCTATTCCAACCTTGTAAACACTTCAACATATAGTGAATTGGTTCTCGGCTTCCTCCGCCCGTGGTTTTTTCCCGATTTGGGTTTCCACGTAAATCCTTGTGTCTATCTTACTTATTGTCTCGGTTCTTTTCGTTCGTGATTAATTACGCTTGATTAAAATATTAATTCCATTCTGCGTCAAACTAATATTATTATTATTATTTGCTCGGATTCTTGGGGTGTGCTTCAAACACATTTACAACAATTGGTATCAGAGCATCCGGGTTTTAATATTAGTTTGTTGGAATTATTATTTTAAGCGTTTAATCATGTCTTCGATGAAGTTCGATATTCCGTTACTGGATCGAAACACCAGATTCCCTTTATGGCAAGTCAAGATGAGGGATGTTCTCATCCAGATGGATCTACATCAAGCGTTGCTGGGCGTTGACAAAATGCCCGCATCATGGACAAACGAAGAAAAGGAGATGCGTGGTCTGAAGGCTTTATCTCAAATCCGCTTAMWTCTATCTAACGATGTATTGCAAGATGTTCTGAAGGAAACTTCTGCGGCTTCACTATGGCTGAAATTGGAGCAGTTACTAATGACGAAGAGCCTACCTAACAAGCTGCACTGAAGCAGCGACTGTTTAATCTCAAGATGATGGAAGGTGGCTCTCTGTCCGATCACATTTCCATGTTCAAAGAGTTAGTCAATAACTTGGAGAACATGGATGTCCAGTACGAGGATGAAGATTTGGCTTTATTCTTGTTGTCATCATTGCCCGAATCCTACAGCCATTTTCGGGATACTATCATCTATAGCCGCGACACTCTTGTGTTAGATGAAAGTTCTTACAGTCTTAGACTCTAAGGAGAAGATGAAGCAGATTACAGGTGGAACAGAAACAAAGTCCGAAGGCTTAAATGCCAGAGGCAGAACAACAGACAAAGGTAAAAACTTCCAACGAGGCAGATCCAAGTCTAAAGGCAAACAGAAGTTTTGCAACTATTGCCACAAAAAGGGACATACTATCGACGAATGTTTTAAACTGAAAAACAAGGAGAGGTTAGCAGATAGCAAAAAGGCAAGTACTTCGGCTAAAGCTGATGTAGCAGAGGCCGGTTGTATTGGAGAACTTCTAACAGTTTATTCAGATGAACTGGATTCTTCTGATGAATGGATTCTCGACTCTGGTTGTACTTTTCATATGTGTCACAACAGAAGTTGGTTTTACATATTTGAAAAGGTTAACCATGGTTATGTTCTGATGGGCAAAAACTCTACATGTCCAGTTGTTGGACATGGTTCTGTCAGAATCCGAATGTATGATGGAGTCATCCGAACCATTGGGGATGTTCGATACGTCCCTGACCTTAAAAGAAATTTGTTATCACTCAGCACCTTTGATAAAAAGGGTTATGAGTTTGCCGGTAAAGCTGGAGTTCTCAGAGTTTTTAAAAATGACTCTGACTCACTGAGGGCCAGACGAAAAACCGCAGATCTTTACTTTCTCGAAGGGCAAACAATTTCGAGTGATGTTGCTGTCGCTTCAAAGTCACTCTCAGAACCAGATCAGTCCCGTCTTTGGCACCTTCGACTCGGCCACATGAGTTTTCAAGGCATGTCAGAATTGAGTCGAAGAGGTTTACTTGGTAATCAGAAGGTGGTAGAGTTAGAATTCTGTGAAGACTGTATTTACGGCAAGGCAAAACGAGTGCGATTTATGAGTGGCGTTCACACGACGAAAGGGCCACTCGATTATGTTCACTCGGATTTATGGGGACCAGCTCGAGTTGCTTCGAAAGGTGGAGCTATATATATGCTCACTATTATTGACGATTTCTCAAGAAAGGTGTGGTGTTTCTTTCTAAAGCATAAGGGAGACGTTTTCTCTACCTTCAGAGATTGGAAAGTTCAGGTTGAAAAGCAGTCAGATTTGACGGTAAAGTATCTGCGTACGGATAATGGACTGGAGTTCTGCTCAGAAGAGTTCAATGCCTACTGCCGAAAAGAAGGCATTACTCGTCATCGCACAGTAGTCCATACACCTCAACAAAATGGTGTAGCCGAAAGGATGAATCGCACCATTATGGAGAAGGTCCGCTGTATGCTTTCTAATTCCAAGTAGCCAAAGTCTTTTTGGGCCGAGTCTGCTTCGACTGCTTGTTATGTTATTCTATGCTGTCAAAATCGCGATATATCGCCGATATATCGGCGATATATCGGATATCGCTCGGAAAAAAAAAATCGGTCATGAAAAATCGGCCAAAATATCGCCAACGATATTATCGGCGATATTTGGCGATATTTTGAGCGATATTTTAGTGAAAAATCGGTCCGATATTCCGATTTTTACAAGGGTTAAAATTTGGGCTTTTTTTTATTCCATGGGCCTTATTTTTTGGGCTGCTTAGTAAATTAGGTCTAAATCTAAATCTAAACTTAGTTCAGACTTCTTCTCTCGGTCTCTCTTTTCTCGCTCGAACTAAGCCAGCTGCCCCTTACGACGACTACGTTGAGCTCCAAGAGTTTGTAGATGCAAGAGATGGCCTCCTTTGGTCGGATGTACGAGAAGCAATGGGAGGTAATGAAGAAGTTGGACCAAGTACAAGAAGTAAAAGGGAGCGCTATCGAGATGATGATGATGATGATCATGTTGGAGATGAAGGAGAAGAAAAGGAAGATTGGGAAGCTAACCTAAACGAAGAAGTGAATGTATTGGATGATGTTGACTCGGATGCCGAACCTATTGCTTGCGATTAGCTTGTTTTTGAACACTTTAGATGATGTGATGTTTTAATTTTGAAACTATATTTCTAAACTCTAATTAATGCATATTATATATATAATTCTAAGAAATATTA